GAACCTTTGGAAAGTTCTGGGTTCTTTCTTCTGGTTCCCAACAGTGTATGTTATCATTGACCATTATAAATGTCGTCATAAATGTTATTATATATGTGTATGATACCTACATTTTTGTATAAATTTCAATTTAGCAATGACTTAAAGGCAAAAAAACATATATATATATATTTATTTATATAGGTAAATAGTATAATTTGCTAATAGAATGAGTATTTTTACTCTGACAATAAGATAATTAGATAATATGTCCTTGAAATAAGACAATGCAATAGGTTTTTCTTATTTTAAATGTAAATCATCTTGTTCCATTGGCAAAGTGTCTCACTTTCCTCCGCAATTCAAGAAAAAAATCACTTATTAGAAGAAAAAATGACTTAGAATTGATTTTTTTCCTAGTGCACTTGAAAGTGTACATGTTACTTCCCTTTGTGGTAAATGGTCTTTACTTATATAGAGTTTTTTTCCAAGTCAGGAGACTAGACCAAAGTGCATTACACTACATTCATTCACGCACACACTGATGGTGGCGAGCTACATTGTAGCCACAGCTGCCCTGGGGCTCACTGACAGAAGCGGGGCTGCCGTACACTTGAACCGTCAATCCTTCTATTTCTGGGCAAACTCCTACACTGCAAAAAATCTAAATCTTGATAAGTCATTTTTTCTTAAAATAAGTGCATTTGTTCTTGAATTGAGGAGATAAAAGAGACATCTTCCCAATGGAACAAGACAATTTAGATTTAAAATAAGAAAACACAATTGCATTCTCTTATTTCAAGTGAATACTATCTAATTATCTTATTTTAAGAGTAAAAATACTGATTCCATTGGCAAACTATCTCATTTATCTACTCAAATCAAGGGTAAATGCACTTAATTTAAGAATTTTTTTACTTATTTCTAGATCGTTTTTCCAGTGTACATCCGACCCCACTGTCGCCCTATGCATTTCACACATGAAGTTCACTTTTTCTGTATTCCATTTTCAGACGATGAGCTAACGCTTTGTAAGATGTTTCAAGTTCTGCCGTTTCTTGTTCTACACAGAAAACCTGCATGAGATTCTTTAAACAAATAATATTTTCCTGAAAGCTGTTTGGAAACGTAATAAAGGAGGTTTTCAGATGTGAAAACCATATAAATTTTTCCGTTTTTCATCATAATTATAACACAATCAAAAAATGTCAAAGTTTGTTTCATTGTATAAAATTGTATTCCCTTACTTAAGAGATGAGGCAACGGATCTGTAAGAGGCAGGAAACAGTGACACAAACACACACAAAGCAAAGTGATTCCTAGTGCAGGAGCCAAGAGGAGAGGAGAAGAACAGCCACTCAGCAGAGGCAGTGGAGAATTGGGTTTGCTCTGTCTGCCTTTGTCGTGCATGTGTGTGAGCTTTGATTAAAGACAGAAGATTCTTTAAGCACATTAGGGCCATTTTGTCCAATTGTTTTACGCCCTCTCCCATATCCACCCGCACAAAAGATACCGACTGCAGCACAAAGCGAGGCTCACCCTCTTTACTCCTCTCTATCTCACTGAGCAGGCCCGGAGCAGACATAAACAGGCAACGACCAGAGGAATTATGCTCTTGTGCAGAACTAGCAGCAGCAGAAGCCACACTGTAATATCTTATCACTTTAAGGCTACATGAACTGTTGCCATACAAAGGCAAAGGAAACAAAAGACGCTGCGCTTTTTCTCATTTTTTGGAGCAGTATGCTTTCTTCTAACTAAATCCACTAATAAAATATCTGTATTTGGATAGCAATTCTCAATGGACAGCTGTAATACATTGTTAATAACAAATGGGTGCATGAGCAGTTTTATAGCCTGCAGTGCTCTTGTGTAAAATATGTTAAGCATTAAACCAAGAAGCCCATGCATTTCATTTGCAATCATTGGCTAAATTCAAAGTGGCGGGGTCTGGCAGAGAAATGCAGCGAGTTAAAACTGCATTTCAATATTCACAGAGAAAAAAGGGAGAAAAAAAAAACAACTCTGGGAGAATACTCTGGAAGAGAGCTGAACCCAGGCCAGCTAGCCACCATACCCTAGAGTAATAATTAAGAATCCTGTCGCCAAGTTGTCAGTAGTCAATTACACCTCCTGTTCGCTCGGGCGCACAATCTGACTGCGAGCAAAACGAAGACACTGGAGCTGTCATCAGAGATGGAAAAAGAAGGAAAATGAGTGAAATGAAGATTACTGTGGAGTAGGGATTTTGAGCAGGGTTTAACAGTCTCTGTCAGGAGGTGAGTGCTGAATGCGAGTGACCAGACGCCCTCCCAAACATGAAACCATTATTGCCGATTACACAGAACGGGGACTTTGGTGGGGCATTAATTGAAGCTTTGGCTCGCATCAGTTTCCAATTACTTTTATGCTAGCCTACGGTTAATGCGGTGACAATGGATGGTAGGAAGGCACTTCACTGACTGAGGATGGCTATGAAATGAGAGAGGCTCTTCTTGGCTCTGACTGTGAATAAAGTGGGCTCTGCAAGGCAGAAAAACTGCACTGCTGCTGCTGTGCAGATGACGAAGTCAATACTCAGCTGGTTTAAGCCTTCATCAACAGCTTGGAGCTCATTATGGCCCAGTGCTTTACTGGAAATTAGAGCCAACATTGGGGATTTAAGTCAACCCCAGCAAATTAATGCCATGAGTTGATGTTAGCAATTATATAGATATATAAAGTTAACGTTTTTACATTTTGACGTAAAGAACTCAATAAATCTTATTTGTTTTTTAAACTAAACAAAAATGAATGTCTGTTAAAAGAACAGCTGCAGTTATACTGGGACTATTGGCTAAAACACCACTAAATATGTTAAAACTAGGGCTGTCAAACGATTAACATTTTTAAGCTAATTAATCACAAGCTTTCTTGAATTTATTTCGATTAATCACTAGCCTAAATATTATTGAAGAAATACACATTTTCTGTGTAATGTTTTCAAAACAGAAAGATAAACAAGATGGTATTACATTTAGTTTTTATTAATGACAAATCCAAAAAATAAAGAATTTAATTCTCAACAATTTTGGCAACTTAGCAGATACAGGATGGATGAATGGAACTTTTTTTGTTTAAAACAAACAGCTTGACTTTTAAAAAATTACATGAGGTCATTTTACCCTATTATTTATTAATCTTTTAGCCAGTTGTTAAGGCAAATTAACTGGTTTACATTTTCTGAATGTTACTTAAAGGCACACTATGCAACATTTTTCAGTTAATTAATGTGTTCCATAACGTTTTGGATGATTAAATGAGTCATTTCAGGTCGAACAAAGGTTTTCTCGGCCGCCCTGGTGGTCTGTGGGGGAAATACCGCAATTGCAGGAGCCCTCGGCCCGCACCCACATTCTGAGATTAAAGTCAGAATTCTGACTTT